TTCTCCTCTTTACACGCAGCTCCTGCAAATGCTTAGCGTGAGTGCAGGTGCACCACCAGCAAGAAGAGTGAGTGCAGGGCCTTCCCTGGGAATCTGGGGACTGGACTGATTCAGAGGTCAGACCCAGAGTGTAGTAGGTAGGAGCAGATCAATGACCAGCTCCCCTGACATCCTCTTCCCTCAGTACCTGATACAGCAGCAGAGCAGGAGAACTTTAGAGATGGTTCATTTATTTCTTAGAACCTTTATTTCTTAGAACAAGGAAACTGAGACCCAGAGAGTACACCAGGCAGACAAGCACGGGCCCAATACTTAAGGAATGGACTTTCTTTACCGAATAGTTCTGGGGATTTCTGGCTTTCCTTTGCCCCCATGGGACCTATCACTGCCCATCCAAGCATTTGGCCCTGTACTGGGCTCAGGTGAGTTTGAGCAGCCTTCTTATAGCATGATTCACCCCAAAGGTCCATCAGCTGCCTCCTCACAGAGCAGCTGAGGGTCTTCAACTAAGAGTCCTGTGGGGCTGGGGCAGAGCTCCAGCCAGGCCAGCTGGGAGATGCTGGTAAGTCTGCTCTGACTTCTTGCTCTCCTCTTTCTTCCCCAGGCTGCTGGTCTGCCAGTCTGTGTGCCCAAGACTGTGTCCGCAAAGGGGCATCAGACAAGCACCACTGCTGTACCTGATGTGGAGCAAGCCCTGCTCCACATCTAAATAGAGTGATGCGTGCAAACATGGACTTTTCATGCATCCCTGACCCTTTGTTACATTTCTTCCTCTATGAAATATGTGAATGATAATAAAAAGTTGCAGACTGATTCTGCCTCTGGTTTTATTTATTTATTTTTTTTTTTTGTGAGCCCTGAACCATGTCCAGCAGAGCTGGGAGTGCAGAAACCTGAAAGTTGCAACCATATCCTATCAAGATAAACCTGGTGCCTCAGGCACATCAGTTTACCTGTCTCGGTTTCAGTTTCTCAGCTGAAAACATTGAGAACATTATACTAGATGGTATGAGGACACTGGAATCAAACAGACATAAGCTTTGGTAAGAAAATGAACATGCACAAAATACAGCAGCCAACTTTCAATAAATACATAAAACAACAGGGGAATAAAAGAATTACAGCCAGGTGCAGTGGTGCATGCAGGATTGCAAGTTCAAAGCCAGCCTCAGCAAAAAGCAAGGTGCTAAGCAACTCATTTTTATTTAGAGACCCTGTCTCTAAATAAACTACAAAATAGGGCTGGGAATGTGGCTTAGTGGTCAAGTGCCCCTGAGTTCAATAAAAAAGAATTACAAACATTATACATTTTTAAAGGAGTGTGCATTGCGGATGGGAGACAGTTTGCAGGCTTTATCCAGTGCACCTGGACATCCCTATGAGGAACCATTAGTCTTGGCTTGCACAGAGACACTCACAGGATGCTCAGTGACACCTGAGAACTGTTATGATGTGGCTCTGAATCTTTGACAGTTCCTTGTAAGGTCAGGCTGAAGTCTGGTCTTACTTCAAATTTTAGCCCTTGGGTGCTTAAAATCAGCAAAGTGACTAGGGATTTGGAGGAAATTCAAGGAAGAACTTTTTGCAGCTGAAGTACCTTGTGTCTGCCTATGCAAGACTGACATCAGATAATGCAGTTTCCAAGCTACCGTGACATTCAATAGAATGGAGTGAGGCCCTGGGTGACTAATTAATAGAAGAAGTTCTTTCCCTTAGCTCCTTGTTGAAGGAATTGCTATTTGATATTCGAAGAAAATGATGAGTCATGTGGTCCAGAGGCAGGACTGTGATTGCCTGCAGGTGTCCTGTGAGAAAGAGGGTTTCAGGAGACAGCTTGTGCCATGTGCATGAGTTTTGGTGTCAGACATCCTGGTCAACAGTTCACTTCACCCCCTACTGCCCATATAAAGGCTCTCTGAGCTTCCTTCACTCGTTTGAAGAGAAAAGATTGTATATCTATGGAGAGATAAATGTGATCATGGACTGGCTTCTGGATAGAGCTTTCTTTATATGTGTGTAGCTCAACCACTGAACTACATCCCCAAATCTTTTTATTTTACTTTGAGAAAGAGTCTGGCTAACTTGCCAAGGCTGGCCTTGAACTTTTGATGCTCCTGCCTCAGCCTCCCTAGTTGTTGGGATTGCAAGTACACGCTACTGCCCCAAGCTACACTACAGCATTTTAATCATTAGGTCTCCATGACTTTCTGGAGTCAGAATTCTGTTAGATTCCATTAGGTTCTTGGAAAAGGCCCAAATGCTTGGGAAGCATAACTGTGGATTGCAACTGCTGATGGATTTGAACTCCACTGACCTATTCCAAAACCATGAGTATGGCCAGGTCAGGTGGCTCATGAATGTAATCCCAGCTATTTTGGAGGCTGAGGCCAGAGAATCCCAAATTTAAGGTCAGCCTCCCTAGCAGAGCCAGACCGAAAATAAAGTACAAAGGGCTTGGATGTAGCTCAGTGGTAAAATGCTTGTCTGGCATTTGTAAAGCCCTGGGTTCCATTCCCAGTCTCACAAAACCAAATAAGCGCAGTTCTTACATACTAAGCCTTTCTCAAGCTATTGACCCTTGCTTTTGTGGGGCCAATGAGAATGAATGTGCAGGGTTGGTCCTGAACTCCAGAAGAGCAAGGAGACCTGTCCACAGTCCCACAGCTCAGCAGTAAAGGTGTGAATGGATTAGTGCTATAGTGTCCTTATGCCCTAGACACAGCTGCCATAACATGTCCTCACTAGATTCTATATTCTGCCCCTCACAACTCTGAGCGGGACGGGTCCTTGGTTCATGAGTTCAGTTGTGCCTTTGATTTGAGAGAAGGTACATGGAGGGCAGAGAGGTCAGAGCTCTGCAGGACATCTGATTGTCAGCTCAGATGTCTTCCCACTGGTGCCTCTGTGCCAGATTTCAGTGTCCTGCTCTTTCACGGGACAGGGTGACACAGGGTGGAGGGTGAGGGCATGATGAAGTCCACTTTCCTGAGTACAAATCTCAACAGTGTCACTTTAATCTGTGTGACACAACCTCTCTGGTCTCAGTCTCCTCCGCTGCAAATGGGGCATAATAAGAAGGTGGGGCATTTAGGACTAATGACATAATGTATGTGAGACCGTAGCATGGCTCTGGCCAAGTGACGACTGCTCCATAACTTATTTACTTATTTGTCGTATTACTGGCGACCGGACCCAGAGCTTACTCCCCAATGCTGAGTGATGCTCCACCAGTGAGCGACATCCTCAGCTCTTTTTAAAATTTTGAGACAGTCTCCTTAGGTTGTCCAGGTGGCCTTGAACTTGTAATCCTTACACTTCAGCTACCTAACGAGCTGTGATTACAGGCATGCACCACAACCTGTGGCTATGGTGTTTGTTTTTTTTTTTTCACAGCGCAGAAGACATTTTACTCACAGCAATAAGCCATGCCCGGCAGGGCCAGCTCTGTGTCCTTGGTTCTTCTCATAAGCCACATGAGCGTGTGACCTGTAGCCCAGCAGTTCCGAGCTCCTCTGCTCTTCCCTCCACACACTGATCCACGCTGGGTAATAAGCAGTGCTCAACACACCTGATGTCGTTCATGAGTGATGCCCCAGAGTGCCTGCCATTTCTGGACCATTTTTCTTTGACAGAACTTGTATTTCATTAAAGTCACTCGCATGAAGAGCAACCCTTCTCCACTACTGGGGGTGAGAACCAGTCTCACTTGCAGGAGGCGGCCATGAAATGACACCTATCCCTTCAGTGCCACTCTTGTGGCTCCCTTGATTGACCTGGAGCTTCCTCTTTTCTTTGATTTCAAGCAGTAGAGAGGTGGGGAGGACACCTAGGCCAAAGGGAAGCTCCATCCTTGACCTCTTTCCCTGTGAATTTGGATTCAGATTCAGCATCCCAGGTCCTGGCCCTGTGACCCCAGGCAGGGAACTTTATAACTCCTTGTCTTGTAGATATTTTCTTAGGAAAACAGGTTAAATAGTATTTACTGAAGGCTTTGTGAGTTCAAAGATCCAAAGTGATCAAACAGGGCTTGGCACAACTAAAGTGTCTATTTATCAGAAATATGAGGGGGAGGGGCAAGTGGTGATACACACCAGTAATCCCATTAACTCAGGAGTTTTGAGACAAGAGGATTGTAAATTCAAAGCCAGCCTCAACAATTTAGCAAGGCCCTAAGCAACTCAGTGAGACACTAAATAAAATGCAAAATAGGGCTGGGGATGTGGCTCAGCGGTCAAGTGCCCCTGAGTTCAATTTCCAGTACCCCCCCCCCAATAATAATAAAATAAGTATCAAAAGGAAAGTAAGCAGATACCTGGCTTCTGTACTTAACTCAGGGTCTGCACATCACCTAACAAGTGGCTCTCCTTTGGGGACCCCAGGCTTTGGGACTCCCCATCCACGTATGTGGCCTGGTTAGGCTGTGGGAAGCTACAGGTGAGTTTAAGCAGCTCAGAAACCTGACAAAAGTACCCATGCATCTTCTCTGAAGTGCAGAAGGGAAGGAGGGAGGAAGCACCTTGTGTCCCTATGCGACTGTGCAAAAAAGAAACATGACATAAATGACTAAGGGGACAGGGACAGGCGACACAGGGGAGGTGGATGAAAAACTGATGGTCAGTGTTCTGCCCCATTTCCGTGGCTCCCCTCCTGGACTGGTGCAGATCTGGGTCAGTGAGCACGAGGCTGGGGCTGCACAGAGATCAGAGAAAAGAAAAATACTGAGGGAAAGGGCGCCAGGGCTGGGCTGCAGGAATGGGTTCCCGGAACTCACATTGGGGGTTGGGACCCTCTAGGAAGGTTAGAAGGGCAGCAGGGACACCGCGTGGGGCCGAGTGCACAGGCCCTCTGGCGCCGGCAGCACGGGGGCGGCGGGGTGCTGCACGCGGACCCTTGCGCGCGGCCCGCGGGGTGCGCCTAGCTCAAGGCCAGCGGGCCGTGCGGACTCGGCCCGGCGAGTGCAGGGCGGGGGCGGAGCCTTTGCGCACGGCCCGCCCCCGACTATAAAGGGAATAGGGCGGCTTCCCAAGCTCCAGCACGCTTTCCTGCAGCTGCTCCGCCTGCTAGATCTTTGCTGGGACCTCGACTCACTTCCATTCGAAATGGACCCCAACTGCTCCTGCGCCACCGGTAAGGCTCTCCGGCTTTCAGGGACTTCGGAATTCCATTTCTCAGCCGGGCCCCTTTGGTTGGGGGAGGGCACACCCTTAGTTCCGAGTGAAGTAGACTCCTTACTTTCCACTCCTTTCTCTCTGGCTAAGTGTCTTCAACATCCTTTTGGATCCCCCCCCACCACCACCACCACCACGCAACAGCTGACCTCCCATTTCAGAGTAACCACAGGGAGGTTCAAAGCCGCCCTGCTCCATTATCACCTTCCTGAGCTAGGTCTGGAATCAGGGGCGCTCCTTCCCTGGGGAGAAAACACAGGGGGTGCCCGGTGCTTCCCAGCAGCAGTGTGGAGAAGATGGAATGACACTTCAGCGGTTCTCTGTGGGACAGGAGCTGCCAGGGCTGGGTCAGCGTGGCCACGGTGAAGGATGTCAGTGACATCCCTCTGCTGGTTCTCCAGCATCACACCCATAGCTCCCTGCCTGTCTTTAATCCTTTACAGGTGACTCCTGCACCTGTGCCGGCTCTTGCACATGCAAAGAGTGCAAATGCACCTCCTGCAAGAAGAGTGAGTTTGGGGACTTCCCTGGGAAGCTGGGCTGGCTGAGGCTGGGGGAGAACCCAGAGCTGGCTCCTGTGTAAGCCTCTGGGGAATGGGTCTTCCTTTGCCTCCAGAGGTCATTCCACTTTCTCTCCAGACTGAGCTCAGATGAGCCAGAGCAGCCTTTTCTATGGGGATACAAACCCCAAAGTTGTTTCTTATTGTCCCAGAATGCAGCTGAGCTCTTATAATAACGTGGGCTGGGGAGGAGCCAGGCCTGCTGTGGGGCTAAGTCTGTTCTGACCTCTCACTCTTCGCATTTTTCCCCAGGCTGCTGCTCCTGCTGCCCTGTGGGCTGTGCCAAGTGTGCCCAGGGGTGTGTCTGCAAAGGGGCATCAGACAAGTGCAGCTGCTGCGCCTGAGGTGGAGTGAACCATGCTCCCATGTGTACATAGAGCCCTGTGGGCAAACCTGGATTTCCTATTCTTGTATCCAGACCTGTTTGAATCATCCCTTTTTCTACGAAGCATGTGAATGATAATAAAATGTGTTTACTTGATTTTTGACTCTGGTTTTCGTTGTGTGCTATGACTATAAGGAACTGAGGCAGGGGAGTGAATTCTAACTGCAGAGCCTTTGAATTATTAGCCTTAAATACTGTGTTCCTGCAAACAGAGAGACGTTACTGAGCTTCATCTTCTATAAAATAGAAAAGTTTTGGGCCAAATCCATTTGATGAGTCTGTGTGTTCGATTGGGGGGAGGGATACGTGCCCACGTCCATTCTCATGTGAAGTGTTGAAGGCATGGAAACTTCTTGATTTTTTTTTTTAATTGTCTGATTTCCTGGACTAACTTTCCTTCCTCATTGGATTTTTAGGCTTGAAAGTGACTTCACGGGGGTGAGGCTGTAGCTCAGTGGTAGAGTGCTTGCCTCACAGGTGTGAGGCCCTGGGTTCAATCCTCAGCACCACATAAAAATAAATAAATAATAAATAGTGATATTTTTTTAAAAAAAGAAGAAAGTGACTTTAGGGTATGAACTCCAACTTCCCAGTTCTTTTTGTCCTTAGGGATACTCAAACCCCATGGTGAATAAACAATTTTTTTTTTTTTCTCTAGAAAAAAAATTTTTCTTTTTCTCTAGAAAATTAATTCTAGAGAAAATTAAATCCAAGAAGAAAATGCACAAACCCATTTTTTAGATTCAACAGGAAAATTTCAATAAATGCATGAAGAGGGGAAAAAAACTAACAATCTACACACTTTGCACATATGTTCATTGGCAATATGCATTGCAGACTGTCCCCAGTGTGTGGCCTCCTGTGACCTAGCTGCACTGGTCAAGATATTTTTACTAGGAACCCTCAATCTTAGTTCACCCAGATCTACTGACAGGACACGCACTGATCCCTCAGCATACCCTGTTTTCTTTTCTTGGGTCCTGGGGATTGAACCCAGGGTTGCTTAACTACTGAGCCACATCCCCAGCCCTCTTTAATATTTTATTTAGAGACAGGGTCTTGCTGAGTTGCTTAGGGCCTCTCTAAAATGCTGAGGCTGACTTTGAACTGGTGATTCTCCTACCTCAGCCTCCCGGCTACCAAAGTCAGGATGAATTTGCTCCTCTTTCTTTTTCTGGTACTGGGGATCATTCATCCCAGGGGTGCTATGTTGTTCTCAGGAATCATCTATGCACTAAGCTAAAGTAGTCCTCAGACCCTCCTGCTCTTTTCTTTTGGAGATAGGGTCCTGATAAATTGCTTATGGACTCACTAAATTGCCGAGACTGGCTTTTAATTTGCCATCCTCCTGCCTCAACCTCCTGAGCCTCAGGGATTACAGGTGTGCACCACTGTGCTGGGCTTGATCCTCTTTCAATCCCAGCCTTCAGCTGCTTCTAATGAGCTTTGTGTCTAGGGACCTGGAGGGAACAGCTTAGCATTTTTCTAGCAATATAACATATGTGAACTGATGAACTACTTCGTGTCTCTGTATGCAGGGGTGAAACTGGAGTCTAAATTCTGAGGGTGTGGTGGTGTTCTCTAGGAAGGACTGAGGTCCTGTTCATAGGAACCAGTGAGACAATGAACCGGAAGGTTTGTCAAGATTGTCCTGTCTTCCATAGTAGTAGACCACCTTCCCAAGATCCCACAAGCTCAGCAGTAAAGATGCGAATGAATTAGCGATATAGCTGTCCTTACGCCTTGGACACAGCTGGCACAACAGGATGTCACTGGATGCTCCACTCTGCCTCTCAGTTTTGAGCTGGAAGGGCCCTCAGGTGGCAAGTCCAATTGTGCCTCTGATTTGAGAGAAGGTACACGAAGGGTAGAGAGGTCACAGATCTCTGCAGGGGCATCTGACTGCCAGCTCAGTGGTCTTCCAGCTGGTGCCTCTATACCAGATTTGAGTGCTCCAGACTTCCACAGGATAGGGTGACCTAGGGTGAAGGGCAAGGCAGGATGTTGCAGTTAACCTGGCTGAGTGCAAATCTCACCAGTGTCCCTTCATGATGCAGCCTCTCTGGGCTCGGTCTCCTCTACTGTATAACGGGCATAATAGGCTTGGGCTTGCGTGAGCAAAGGAGTGGATACATGCAAAGAACTTAGAATGGTGCCAGGCACATGATGAGGGTGGTAGGGTATTAGGCAGTCTTTCATCATCTTTAAGCCAGCCTGGTGTTGCCCTGTGTCCTCTGTTATTCTCATCAACCACTTATGCATGTGTCTCAGACCCAGTCCTCCAGTCTTACCTGCTGTGACAAAGGACTGCAGTGGGGACCGGGACAGACAGTTCAAGGGAGGCAAAGGTGACACCTGTAGTTTATGCGCGCAACTCCCCCACTGCTCTCCGGGTCTTAGAGATGCGGAAATGCAGGCACGAGGTTGGCACTGCATACACACTCCTCCGGGAAGGCTAAGATGACTCCGTGGTTCAGGGCTGCAGGTGGGGGACGGCCACTACCGGTTTCCTGGAACGATTGGGGGCGAAGGTGACCAGCAAACTTGCGGGAACTGGTAAGGGGCAGCGGAGCAGCAGGGACATCCCGCGGGGCCGGACCCTGCCTTCCAAGGGGGTCAAAGGGACAGCTCCCGCCGTGCGCACCCCTGAGCCTGGCGGGGGCGGGGATTGTGCGCCCGGCCCTCTAAGTGCGCTCAGCTCGGAGGCAGCGGGCTGCACCGACTCACCCGCTCGCTTGCAAAGGCCGGGCGGGCCTGCGCCCGGCCCCCTGCGCCCGGCATAAAAGGAGCAAGCGGGGTTTGGGCTCTGGCGCTCCTTCCTGCAGCTCACCTTCGTTTGCACCTGTTGCTTCGGATCGCCAGCTTCAGTCGGACTCGAGATGGACCCCAACTGCTCCTGCGCCACTGGTAAGGGTCCCTGACTTGATTCTGAACTACAGAATAAAGTGTCCCTAGGTTTTAGGAAGTCACTTTTGGGGGGGAAGAGGGGGGTACCGGGGATTAAACCCAAGGGCACTCAACCACTGAGCCACATCCCCAGCCCTGTTGTGTATTATATTTAGAAACAGGGTCTCACTGAGGAGCTTAGCATCTCGCTGTTGCTGAGGCTGGCTTTGAACTCGAGATCCTCCTGCCTCAGCCTCCTGAGCCGCTGGGATTACAGGGCGCCACCGCGCCTGGCAGGGTCACATTTTGAGTTCTGAGCTAAATGGATTCTTCATTTGCTCTCTATGTTCCCTTTTCACTGAGCTCCTGACAATACTTCTGTCTTCCCCGTGTCTGCACGTGGGGAGGAGTTCAGGGCACTGAGACTCAATGCTGTCCTCCTGATGTCACTCAACTCGGGGTGGCTACTGGCTCCAGGCCTTGGAGTAGTTAGGGTGATTGAAGGCAGAGGAGGTTGCTTCTTTGGAACTCGGGAGATAAGATCTTGGCCTCCAGTCCTAGTTATCCTGGGCTGGAGTCTGGGACCTTCTTTGTGAAGTAAAAGCAGGAGGTAGCACTTCCTCTTCCTGGAAGGGAAGGGAAGAAAGACCCTGCTTCTCTGCCTCCCGCTTGAGCTGGAAAGGAGCTCTTGGGACTGGCCCTGCTTGAGAAGCATCTCTGGAGGTTAATGGCAAGCACTGTTATGGCTGCATCTCCTGGCTCACTGCCTCTTTCCTTCCAGGTGACTCCTGCACCTGTGCCGGCTCCTGCAAATGCAAAGAGTGCAGATGCACCTCCTGCAAGAAGAGTGAGTGGGGGCCCTTCCTTGGGAAGCTGGGCTGGCTGAGTCAGAGGAGCCACTCAGAGCTCAGCAGGCAGGAGGGGGCCAATGAGCGTCTTCATCCCCGTCCCTCAGCACCTGATTCAGAAACAGAGGGCTAAAAGAGCCATAGAGAAGGGAGAGTCCCAACCTCTCATTACAGAACTGTGATCCTGTGGCCTAGAGAGGTCACCTACTTGTGTCAGGGTCTGAGTCAGATTCTGAACGTAGGCCTTGCTTCTTGAAGCAGCTTTCTCCATATACCCAGGTCCTGATGTACTCAGCGCACAGGATCTTGGGGTTTCTGACCGGCTGGGTCAGGCTTTTCCTGTAGTCATCCCAGTGCTTCCCTGGCCCTCGCCAGAGCTGCTTTGTCAGGGGTTTGCCCTGTCTTGAGTGTTCTCATTTCATTGCAGAGTTCGGGAGACTTGGCCTTCCTTTACCACCCAGAGACCCATGCCCTGCCTTTCCAGGCTCTCTGTCATGTCGTCCTGAACTAAGGGTCCTGTAGGCTGGGGGCTAAGTCTGCTCTGACCTCTCATTCTCCCCTTTGCTCCCCAGGCTGCTGCTCCTGCTGCCCCGTGGGCTGTGCCAAGTGTGCCCAGGGATGCGTCTGCAAAGGGGCAGTGGACAAGTGCAGCTGCTGCGCCTGAGGTGGGGAGAGTCTCGTGACCACGTGTGCATAGAGTGACCTCTGAAAACCTGGATTTTTGTTTGTTTTTTACACTTCTCATCCATTTACATAAAATATCTCATTTCATTTAAATGCATATGGAATTTGACAATAAACTATTTTGACTTCATCTGCCTCATGGTGTGGGGGGATATGGAAGTTGGTTCTCATTGGGCTGTAGGGGATTGCACTTTAAAGGAGGCAGGAGGGAGGAATAGCAGGGACTGGTCCAAGTGCATGCACACTATTTTTTTTCTCCTAGTACCAACATACAGAAGGAGTCCACTGAGCTACATGCTCATCTCCAGCCCTTTTTATTTTATTTTATTTTATTTTTTTGAGTCAGGATCTCACTAAGTCATCCAGACTGGCCTTACAACCTATGGTCCTCCTGCCTCAGCCTCCAATGCACTAGGATTATAGGCATGTACTGCTGGCCCAGCTCATGCGATCTATTTTGGACTTGGCTCTCTCCTCTGAGCTATGGAAGAGGATTTCCCCTACAATATTCTAGAAATAGTCAATTGGTGCTTGCTCCCCTTTTTGCCTATATCTGTCACAGACTAAACTCAATAGCCACTTATGGGGCACCTACTGCATACACAGGCATGCTGCTCTCTATGAGAGGAACATGGTGCTTAGACTGCTGGAGAGACAGGTAATTATGGAAGAGGAAGTCTTGCAAAAAAACAAAAAAACAATGGCTGTGCCTAGAAGTGCACGCAGCCTCTTGCACAGACACCTGGGGTCTCTCTTCTTGCCAGAGAGCATGGCTTGGGCAAAGGCCTAAGAGTAGGGAAGGGCTTGGTGTCTCCAGGAAACAAGTCCAGTCTGTGGTAGTGTGTCACGCCCCTTTGGAGAAGGGGAAACAGTATGTACCTTACTCATCTGAACAACACCCCACCCCCTGCCTCTCGGGTACTGTGCTCACCTCACCACTCTCCACCCCCTGCTCCCCTTCTGATTTCTTGGTTCTAAGATGGAACTTGTAATAAAAGTGCCCAAGGTTGCAACTCACTGAAATGGTTATATGGAATCATCTGGTGAAATAGAATGACCTCAGTCGTTTCCTCTCCAACTTCAAGCCCAGGAAATCTCTCTCCCCCAGTTGGTATTGGAAGCAACTCCCCAATACCTGGCTGCCTGCACTGGTGGCTGGGAACCAGGCCTCACTATGCAGGGAGCAGGTGTCCCCATAGAGACCAAACCTGGCTCAGAGGGTAGGTGGAGCCTCCTCGGCTGCTCACCACGGAGGCAGGGAGGGAGAGGCCTGGTGTCTGAGCCACCGTGAACCTCGTGGGGCATGGCAGGGCTGTGATGTGTTTATTTCAGACTCGGTCTGAAAGCCCTGGTGCCAAGTCACACGTGTACCCAGCCGTTGCTCTTTCATAACTGTTTTGGGGAATTAGTTTCCAAACCTTTCCATGGCCTGGTGCACAGTATTTTCACTGGGCCTGACAAACAGGATCATTCCACTGCAGCTCTTTGTTTTCTAATTTAAATGGCATCCCTGAGCCACCCCTGACCCCTGGCCGGAAGCTCTGGGTGGGTGGAGCATGACCATTGTGGGTGTCTGTTGGAGAGAGCAATTTATAAAAGGAAAAGAAAAGATGTGGCTGTTACTGGAATGCCTTGTTTAATTTCAGAAGTTTCAGTGCCAAGGGCAGCATTGTGAACAGTCTGGTAGAGCAGGGAAGAGCCAGCCTGCCTGGCTAGAACCACAGCTCCACTACTCAAGCAAGTAGTGTGCCCGGCTGTGCCTCAAGTTTCTCATCTGTAAAGTGGGGACAATATAAAAGCCTACCCCATTGGGTCGTTGTGAGTTTGACTGTTTCTAGAATAGTCCCTGGCATGCATCAGGGGTTCCGTAAGTGCTGCTTCCCTCCTGGTCAGGCATGGTCTCTTGCGATCAGTAGGTGATCCATAAGTGCCTTCTATTCAATCCAGTGAACACCTATTGGACTCCTTCTGTATGTTAATTATTGTATTGGGCACAGAGAGTGAAGATAATATATAAATATGATCTAATCCCCTTGCTGGAGATCTTATTTAAGTACCTGTTGTCCCAGAACAACCCAGTCCTAGCGTATGAGGTGCTCTGAGACTGAGAAAAGAGCCAGGATTACACAGAGAGCAATGAATTGGGGGCACTTAGTGACAGAAGCATGCTCCTGAGTGGCAGTTGGATCCCTGCAATTTAATCAGAAAGAGGGGCATATCTAGAGAGGACCAAAGTGACTTCATCCTGGCTGGAATGTATCTGGTTTATCTTAAAATGATATTCAAGAGTCAGGTAGGTCCCAGCAGCCAGGGGCTGGTTGTGAAGCTTCACATCCATATATCTTTAGTGGTTTTATCTATTTATGGTTTGCAGGGAACTGTGTAGGGAAAAAGGACTAGGATTAGTCTGGGGGCAACGGTGGCACTTCCCACATAATATGCTACAGTTGTGTCAAGCTGTGTCCACGCCCTGTTGAATTCAGGGAGAGATTCTCTACCACTACAAGAGGCAGCTGCTGACCTGGGGTGAAGGGCCACACAGTCTGCACATTGCTACCTTCAAAAGGAAGGATCCATCGCACACTGACTCTAGGACAGGCCGAGGTGGCAAACTAAGACACAGGCATGAAAACTTTGGGAGCAGGGTGAGATTCACCCCTTCTGATGAGAAGGCCAGGTGGAAACCCCACTCCCTCACTCTTTACTTGGCCACATCATGCAGAGAACACCGTGGGTGGGTTGAAGGAGCAGGAGGCTAACTCTTCCCCATGGGCTGGCACGAGGCTCTGCCCACTGCAGATGACAAGTATCAGATGAAGGCAACCAAACCAATCAGATTCTTCTGAGAAGTATAAACTCAGGGTTCAGGGAGTAGGATGAGGGTAAAAGGGCACCTCAGCTCAGGTGTGACTAGAGCAATATCAAGAGAGCAGTAAAGAACCCGACCTAAATGGCAGCCATGAGGACCATCAGGACAAATTTCTTGTCTTTCTCCCAGAGCTGCTATATTTCTGTCTTCAAGGATGCAGAGAGGCTGAGCCTTTGCTGAGAGGGTTCCCAATGACGCCTCACCTCCCTTTGAATCCTGTATCTGTCACAATTCCTTGGATGCGGGCAACAGAAATGGATCCAGCTACACCAGGCAAAACAAATTCACTGGAAGGATATTGGGGGTCCACGGAATTGACGGGTGGAATGGAAAACCAGGCTCAGAAAATGGACAGGAGCTGTGGGCGGTCAGACAGCAGGTTGTAACCCATGTACAGTCTGAGTGGACTATAGCAGTTGACAGAGCTGTCATTGCAGCTGCTGCTGTCCCCAAATACCCACGCCATTGCCACTGATCCCCACTACAGTGAACAAAACCTAAACTGTCCATTGAGGTTTTCACCCTTTACCTGAAATCCAAAGTCCCAGGAGGGCCAGCTGGGTGGCAATGGTGGTGAAGAATAACTGGCCGCCTTCATTCCCCTGAGCTTCTTCCTACACCAGTAAGAATCCTTAGCAGGAAGTCAGAAAGTAATCAGCGGAAAGTTTAATCAAGAGACTATTTACAAAGGAGTAGGCGGTCTCGGGAGAAATGAACCAGAGCTGTGTCCCAGGCCTGCCACGGTCGGGAGCAATTACCAGGCCCAGGCCTAGCAGCACTGGGATCCAGAGAGTTGCTGCAGGAGAGGTGTCCCAAGATGAGCTGTGACCTTGCCACTCACCCTGGCCAGTGGAACCCCGGGTGGACCTTCTGTGAAGTCCTCCCTCTCCCATTCCTGCCAGTGTGCTCCTGGAGAACGCAGCCAGACGCTGTCCCTCCCAGAATCAAACTGATCTGAGTATGGAGTGGGGAGAGGGAGGGGTGGGGGAGATGGTGGGAGCCTTGTGTTGCTGGGGCAGGGACAGGAGGCCGTGCAAACCATCCGAGGCCTCTCAGAGGCCTGCCTACAGCTGTGACCCAGCAGGTCTCAGGGGGAGATCTTGGATCACACCCCTAGGTCCCTGTGGCCACCTGTGGCCTCACAAAACCTGCTGAGCCTCCCTTTCAGGGTGATCCCAGGGGCTTCCAGGACTGACTGAAGACCCACACCCCCCTCCTTCCTGGGCAAAACTGTGAAGTCCGCAAGTTTCCCTGGGGTCCCCTCACACCTCACTGTCCCAACCCAGCTCCCTCCCGGCCCCTCCCTCCTCTGAGCAGCCTCTCTCCCTCCAGCAGGCGAGGCTGCTGCCCTCCACTTACCTATTCAGCAGGGAGCGGGGAGGCCCCAGGCCTTCAGTAAAGGCCCCTGCTGTCTCAGGGGGTCAGAGAGCCCTGCTCTGAGCCTCTGCCTGGACAGACCTGGTGATCCTTGAGTCCTCACAGGAGGAGACCAAGGCAAGGCCAGGAGGCGGGGCCGTCACCAAATCCTGGCAACTCAAAGGTCTCCAGAGACTGGCCCACAGGAACTCCAGAGGTTGCCTCAGGACGCTGGAGGAGGGGATCTGACCCGTCCCCAGCCACGGGCCTGCCATAGGCTTCATTCCCATCCTGGGGGGTGGGGGCTCACACCCCAAGCCCCAGCAAGGCTAAACCAGGACCTGCACCACAGAAGTAGGCGTAGGAGGTCAGGGATCTCGGGTCACCCAGCCTGGGAGAGTTTGCCAGCCTAAGTGACCCTTCGGGGAGGGAGACCAATGCTTCATCTTGAGATGGACTCTCTGCAGGTGGATCCAGACTTGCGATGGGCATCTACCAAGTCAGGCATCCATCCCGCCGCTTCCTTCCCAGAATTCCCTCGGCCTCGTTGTGTGCACCCTTGGTGTGACAGACAGGGAGTCAGGGGTCTGGCTCCAGCTACCAAGACTGGAGGGCCACACCCTTTCTCCAGGGAGCCTGCGCCAATTAGATGTTCACTTTGGGAACTCTGAGATGTGGAGTAGAACAAGACTAAAAAGACATTTGTTACGGGCAAATGTCCAAACCAGACAAGATCAGGCCTGTGGCCCCCACACCCAAACCCTGACCTCTTTCCTTCCAAGTTTGGTCCCACTGCCTCCCA